GGCGAACCAGGCTCCATCCCGCCGGGATCGGTTAACTGGTACCAGACTTGCCTGGTATGATAAAAAAAAAGAAACACTGAACATTCCAAAAAGGGGATTGATCAACGGCAAATGCTTTATCCTTTATCCTTCAATTTACCGGTTCTAATATTGGGCATCACACCTATTACTGGCGCTATTTTCAAGCTCCCAATTTGAAACGTAAGAATCATTTTGTTACGCGAAATTGAACCTTGGGTCATTTCTTCACCAGCTTTTGCCCCTCACGGGATCGCTCGGCGAAAATGGACATCGGTTTTGTGTCCACGCATGAGCTCCTATAAAATGCAGGAAAACCGTTTTGAGAAAGCGCTCGATACCCTGAAAGACCTCCCTAAATTAGCACGGCTTCGCGTTCCGCGATCTTTCGAATGGCTACTTGTATGCACGGATGTTGTGGCTTCAAAACCGTGGTTCTGGTGATCATGTACTTTTCCGTGGACTTTCTGCAGAAGAAATGACGGCTAGGTCAACACTAGTACTCAGCTGCCCATGTAATGTGAGTATAAGTGTGAATAGAGCCAAAGTAAGTGACCTCTGCCAAAAAGGTTGATCACTCCACATTATTATTCGGCCACTTTCCATCGAATACACTGTAGTACACAAAACGGAGGCCACCGGATTACCCGATAATGAAAGCGGAGGACTTCGAAGCGCAAAGCAAGCGAACCGCGAGGAGCCCCAAGAAAGGTGGAAACGTGATCAAGAAGGACCAAATTGATGTCAGGCCACGGCGGAAGGTGTCCTGGGTAGAACAAAGTGGCGATGACTGATTAGACAATGGATCCTTGCGGGTGGGCGGGGCTAACCTAGAGAGAAGAAGAAGAAGCTGTGGTCCCGTAGTAACTAGCAGTCAAAATCATCAATGTAGTGATCGTCGAAGCGATTCGGAGTTAATTTCAATCGAAAAGCGTTTCGCATTTCTTGTCCTCAGCCATCTCGTCTGCCTCTCTGGCTGTCAAAAGGAGACCTGACTAGACTGTGATACCATCAAATATCCTCCGTGGGGAAAATGTAGGAAAATTCGTTCTTGGCATCAACAATGAAGAACTGCGCTCAGGTCCACCGTCTGTTGTGGAGAATTTCAAAATTTTTACGACTTCCTTGTCACCATCACCACTGTCAGCCTTGGGGAATTCCTAACGAACACCCCTCCCCTACACACTCATCGGCAACAGTATTTGATTGTGTGAGATCATCCGAACCGTACTCAACCTCACCCCAAGTTTCTTCTGAAGTTGAAAATTGGAAGGGGAAGGGATATCAAAATTTCTCGCATAATGGCAAATGCTCCAATCCACTCCATTTCACGCTTCTTTCCTGAAGTTTCTGCTCATTCTTAAAATCAAAAACCCCTCTCACCCTCCACTGCCATCTCAAGAATTCTCAAAAACGACCCCTCTTTGAACATCGTACAACGGACGCTTGACACTGATTGCTTCCCTTTATACACTTCCTTCGAATATAAAGTAATCCATAAAGCAAATACCTACATGGAACGCCGTAACCTCTACCCTTAGTTCAATGCTTGTTGTTCTTATTAGTAGTACTTTATTGCAGATGAACCGCTATATTTGCACGTTAATGATTCCAATAAGCCGATCGTGATAAACGCAGAACGTCACGGATTCTATCGACAACATTATGAGGGTGACGGTTGGAAGAAAATCATTGACCAACTCAAACAAAACCACACAGTAAGTAGAAGATCAGGAAAGTTTCCGAACTTGTAATGCAACATTCACTCGTCGTAGATGCGATCCTAGGACCTCAGGCTGCAATAGCGCAATCTTTATTAGAAAATCAGCACAGCTTCGGGGACTGACCCGTGCTTAAAGGACGAATTCCGATAAGAACGAAGGTCGAAGAAGGGGGAAATTGCCTAGTTGGGAGACAGGCGGACCTCCTGAGGGTGCTGACCGACGCGCAATTGGCAGCGAAAGATTTGACCTCGGCGATCTAGCATGGCTCACTCTTGGCGCGGTTGGCGGGTACGCCCACCGACTATCTAATCACTCGCCGCAGGTCTATACGTGGCGAGTGATTAGATAGCAGAGAGCGTAGTGTTGAAGAGGGCACAGCGATGAGAGTCGCATCAATGCGCAAATCAACGAAGGAAGGGGTCCCATTTTTCGGGTTTCGGGCCGTTTCAAATGGTTTCTTCTTCATCCCTGCTCCACTGACCACCTCTACCCTTATTTCCAATGAGCTAACTTTTCATCGTAATTTCTGCCTTTAAGTCATGGCTCTGGCGCCGTAGGCCGCATCAATCTGGGTTCGGATTTGACTTCAGTTCATCGCAGTCGAACCTCTTCACCAGCTCTTCTTGTGAGGGATGTGCTCTGGGCAGTCCCGAAAAGTAATTGTATAGGCCAACCCGCGAAGTGGATCGATCAGCAACCAGCTTTATCGTTTGATCCTTTACCGGGTAATAAACAGGTGAAGGTGAACTTGCCAGAGGGTTAGGGTTTCTGCAACGTGAGACTTGCGCTGCAACACCATTGTAGTTTTGCGAGAAGAAAAGGGAGTGAAGTAGAATTTTGATTTTTTTCGCTTGTTTCACTTTACATAGTTCTCCTTTGGTTATATTGATTATATTTTATGTTCAGGTTTATAGTCAACGAACGAGAGATGGAATCATAAGCGATGCATTTGCGGCAGCTTTGGTTGACAAACTCGACTACGAAAGCGTGTTTGATTTGCTACAATATAGCAAACATGAAGAGGTTTCCATTGATTTGTGGCTTTTGTTTTTAATTTCCGGCTATTCTTCATATTCATGTACGTTTTCAGGAATATTTACCTTGGACAGACATAATCTCTGGTTTTGAGGGGGTTCTCAAGTACTTTGGCAACCAACGAGAGGCAGAGTATGCTAAGGTCAGTTT